TTTTTTTGGTAAGAGGATGATATATGGAATCAAAGAGGAAAGCAATGAAAAAGAATTCATAGGGGAGAAAAAATCCGGGTGAGCGAGACGGATTGGTTTGGCAAATCGACTTCACTCTTTGATGGATGGATCCATGCCCGCCGGTCATTACATCTAAAGCGGGGGCGGTTAAAAAAAAAAAAAGAATGAAAGGGAAGGGAGGGGACAAAAGGGGAATCCTTCAGCCTCGGTTCCCATTTCCAATAAGCTTTTTTCTTTTTTTTTGTTTGAAGACCAAGCCCTAAGAACGTCCAAGGTCGTTATGCCGTGCCAGGAAGAACTAAGAGGTACGTTTTTTTTTTTTAGTCCCCCCTCGAAGGAATTCCCGGAATGGAGGGAGGATTCCAAAGGAGGGATTTCTGGAATCGGGAAGGGCTGCCAACATTTCTCTGCCTGTCCGGGGAACCTGTTTCGCTCGGTTGTCGGGAAAGGAAAGGAGGGCGAGGGGTAAAAAAACATTTTTTCTCGTGTACTCATATAATGTCTATAAGTTATAACCTGGTTGGGGGGTGATGGATACCGTCGTGGTTAACGGCGGGACAAGCCAAAGCAAGTACTTCCAGGTTCTCTTCACGAAAATCTGATAACATCTTGGGGGGAAAAATATGTGACGCCTCATTATACCATCTCCTCCTTTTTTATTATAAATAAATACCTCTCTTTATAAATATCACGTTTTGGTTTCTGCTTAGCCTCGGAGGGCCTAATTGGGGGGGAAGCTTCATTATGATCACCTTTCTCTCCACCAATTAGGGCTTTTCGGGATCTCATCGACACCTTGACGGCGAAAGACGAGAAAGTTTTACTGAAAAGCCTCTAATGAGATCCCTTCATCTCGCTCGACGCATTTTTCTTTACTTGTAGGAGTAATTTAGACTTCGAATTACTCAGATTCTATTTTTGGACTTTCCCTTGTTAGTTGGGATTCGTTTTGCTTTATTAACTTCGAGGCTCATCAGTTAATAATTTCAATTGAACAAGTTTCAACATTTTCAAGAAGCCGGGGGCGTTTTTTTTTTTTTTTTTTTCCCACTCGACCGACGTCCCTTTTCAATCCCTTTTCAGATGAAAATCGGTTGTACCGGGGCGGAAGGAGAAGGGAAATCGTGATGACGTGAGAGAGAGCTTCCGATCGGCGGCGAGAACCAGTTGCATCACGAGAGCATCACGAGAGCATCACGAAAAGACCGACGGGAGTCACGACTCCCAAAGATTGTGAAAGTTTTTTTTTTTTTCCTCTCCGACAATCCTCTTCTTCCCATTTTTTCCATCCCTTCATTCACGCTCATCGAGGGAAATCGAGCAAAAATGATGGATGGTCGTGCAGTGAAGCGCAAAAACGAGATCGGCCAGCTTTATAGATATATATATATATATGTATAAAAAAGCTGTTTTAATCTGCAAGTCACTTTCCTGGACATGCGCGATCCTGATCCGCGAAGAAGCGACAGGGTATCCCAATATATCTCTCGGTATCATCTTTCATCCTCGATGCCATGAAATATCCTCGGTGCATTAAAGTAAAATGGAAGCAGGACTCCGGTACAAGACTCGAATGCATAGCATTTGAATATAATGAAATGAAAACGAAAAAATAAAATTTTAAATCCAAAAATTTTTTAAAAAACATTTTAATGGATGGAGAAAACGCAGGAAGGGCATTATAGAGATGTTTAAACAGCTGGAATCAGCCCTGATTCGTCTTTTTTTTTATTTCTTGAGTGGAAGGGAAATGAAATGACAAGCCCGCATGGATAAGAGACTTCCTCTTTCCACATCCACTTGGCTCCAATAAAACCCGCATTTGTCGATTTTTTTCCTCCTTCTTTCTCCCTCGCGACTGGGGACCCAATTATCCAATTCCTCGGTGACATCAAGAGGGATAGAGGCTCTTTTCCTCTTTATCCTAATTAACCCGGCTGTCGCGGCGGATCTCGTTTCGCCGGGGAAGAAATGATGAAGACGTCGGCGGTGTTTGGGGGTTTTTCCTGTTTCCCAACCGGGGGAACGAAAATGACGGGAAGTCGAAAAAAAAAGGATCTAATTTGTCGTCACGGGTGTGAAATGGGAAGAAAGTCTTCTTCATCTTCCTAAATATTTATCACGCTTGGCTGCATCTCAAGAGAGAGGAGGAGTCTTTTTTTTTTTCTTCTTTAAAAAAATCGTCGACCTTTTCCCCGGAGCCGAGGTTTTTATTTGCGAACAAATAAGAGAGGGAAAAAAAAAATTCCTGCTCATCCTCCGTGTCTGACTTGGATTATGGCCATAAAGCAGAAAATAAAAAGTGATTGTCATTTCCATTCGTCTCCGTATATACACGGTCACGGGTCAGAAAGCACACGGACTCCTTTTTTTTGCACTTCTTAGTTCTGTCTTCTTTGTCTTGGACCGAGGAAAAGCCGGTGTTAACCCGTCCTTTCAAGCCGGCGCGATTCCGTGCTGATTCACGGGGAAAATTATGCGACTCGTTTTCGCGGAGATACTTGGAGACGCCGCTCGGCTGGATTCGTTTCAGGTGCTCATTGCTTCCTAAGTTCGTTATCGTCAGGATAAGCTGAACTCAGACGCTGTTCGATGATGATATCAAGGGGAGGGGGGGGGGGGGGACCCCCTTCTGTCACTGGACTTATTGGCCGGTGGGGGCACTCGTGCCTCCCAGTCAACATGTTAACTCTTTCTGTCACTCTGAGCACGATAGGGGCATGGCAATTAATCCGGCGCTTAACAAATGGAACTGATGGTGGCTATAATTGATAATGGAGGTTTACTAAATTCTATACTTTCTGCTCGATTTTGTCCCTGCCAAGTTTCAATATCTTCGATACAGCAGAAGAGGCACATTTCCCTTCAGGCATATCGCAGGATCTCGAGTATGGAATATATTCAGAATCGAGAAAGCAGAACTAAAACAGGCCTTCTCAGAGGTCCTTTAAAAATGAGTCTCGGAGAAACCCCGTTGATGAATGATTGGCGAGCTCCGGATGATTTACCCGGGTGACTCGGCAACCCAGACCAGGAAATTATGATGGGAATTTATTCATGGGGTTTCGGGTATCCCCCTTCCCATATATATAAAACGGGAAAAGGAATTTTTTTTAACCCTCGACGTGCCGTATAAGGGAGTGAGCTCAGACTCAGCGAATTCCTCTCTGATAACCATCGACAGATTTTTTTTTTCCCCCCCCTCTGGTCCATACTTGGCCTCCATCATAAGAATCCCTCGGCCGAAAGCAAATAAAGCGTGACTCTTCCTCAATCGAGAGATAACGGGGGAGAATCTCGGAGTGACTGGGCAGAAAACTGAGAAGAAGGAAAAATTTTTGTTCACTCTCTGAAGAGAAAAGACGAAACTAGCCACTCGAAAGGCTTCTGACCTCATCGACACGAATTTCACGCCCTCGGGGTATATCCGCCGACCACATTCTTTATTTTTTCCTTCGATGTAAAGATTGTAGAGCTCGTTTCGAAGTGAACGAATCCGGGATAGGACGCTTATTAATTCCATCCGAACAGGTGAGCATCTCGTCTTAAGAGACGGAATTCCATTGAGTATGTCTCGGAATTCCATCTAATCCGAGTAGCGACAAACCGAACTAGAAAACTGGAAACCTGCTGGACATAGCCGGCGGGCGAGGGAGGTAGTGGAGGTGGGGAATGGGGCAGGGAGGGGGAAGGGGGGTAGGGGAAGAGGGAGGGAAGGAGCGGAAGTTGGTTCTGGGGATCTCGGTTTCCATCCCTTCCGAAAGGGTCAGTGAAGGACTTTGAGTTGGGAAAGCATTCAGTTGTTTTCGAGAAACTCGTGAAGTTGAGTTCGTGGCGATCGCGATCTTGAAAGCTAAGAAAGAACAATCTTCAGAACACTTGTGGTTCTTGTTGGCGGCCAGAGAAGCCATGGTTGCGCAAGAGGGAGACTACAAGGCTTAACCCATTTTTTTTTTTCCACCATTCATTACTGTCGCACCAAATACTAATGCATAAAACAACTATGCGATGATAAGAAACTGCGTTTAAAAAAGGCTTTAAAAAGAATCCCTGTCGAGCCTTGGGCTGGGGCCATTTCTCTCGGATAAAGTCAAAGTCTACCACTCAGTTCCTACTCTAGAGAGAAATATTTTTCACGGTAGCATGACAATCTACCATCTAGTTACTTGTAGCTGTACAGGTTGTTCCTTTTATAGATACTCCACTAAACTTTATGGGGTTATTGACGCTGTTTCCTTTCGCTGTCGCGCTCCTTTATCTCGAGTAAAAACCCTTCCGCGACTTAATAAGTGCATCGAGAACGATGTGAAGCACGTGGAAATGGAAGGATCTCGGAGAAAGTGCAAGTGAAAACCTCCATAAATATCAGTGGGGCATCTGTAAGAGGCAATACCAGAAGAAAACCTCGTCGACCAAAATTTTCAACACATGCTTACGCCAGGTGTTCGAACCGACTGCGTTCAAACGCGTAAATTTCGCAACTTTCATCCATATTCTCTTCCCAACGGCCGCGTGGCATTTTGTGCATCACTGACCCCTGTCTCCGCCGTTTTATTCATGGATTTCGTGTTTCTGGCTCCGCATAGAAAGGTCGCCAACGAAGAGCACGTAAAAGTCGGGGTCGAATCCGTTTCCACGAAGGGGGTGTGTCGAGCATGGACGAGGAAATGCAGGCTTAAATGCTTCACTGGGAAGGTTTTCTTTTGAAAGATGTGCTCCTCTAATTGAATACTGTATAGATGACGATTTATTTATTATAGTATTATAGGATAATTGTTATAGATTATATGTTGGATTATAAGAAACAATTCGTAATAATAGATACAATTGAATTTATATCATACTAAATGTGACTTGAATTTGCACATTGATAGATGCATAGGTTAATGCATCCCAAGGGGAACCGACTTGAAGAGCAGCTCTATTCTCATTTTTGTATAAAAAAAAAAAAGTTTATTCTTGAAGAGGAAAAGACATACCAGAGGCAAGGGGATTGGAGGCGGCTGTGGAGACGGGTGGAGGGGCGGTGGAGGAGGGGTGGAGGGGATCCATCCCCAGGGTCTGGAAGTGCAACAGTGCCCCTGGCAACACCCCCAGGGATGTCGAGATCTTCCGCGCCAACAGCCGCAACGATGCATCGGAAAAAATTGGAGAGGGGGGGGGGGGGGGGGGGGTAAAAAAAAAAAAAAAAAACAAANGATGCATCGGAAAAAATTGGAGAGGGGGGGGGGGGGGGAGAGAGAAAAAATAAAAGTTACACATGACAGATCTTCACATATGTTAAAAACAAATGCGTTTTTAAATATTACTAATACCGATATGCATCAGACAGGGTGATAAATTAGCTTTTCCACAGATCACAACGACATCACGATGGAACGCTAATGACGCAGTGAACCAAGCGGAATCCGTTTTTGAGCTTGTCAAGCTCCCTCTGGGTCAAAAGAATTCGGCGATTCAGAAAGCCACCTGAGTGTTAACCGATCACCGCTAGCCATCGAGTGCATCCCAGGTAAGGGAAAATGCAATGTTTTCAATGGCATCGCTCGTACACAAGCATTCGCCGAAAACTGCAACGCAAGGCCGAACGGCAGAGAGAAGCTCTGCGACGTTTCTCCTCGTCTCTAATGAAATTCTTCAGCTCCCCGATGTTACCTCCCTCACAGGACAGAATAATAGGGTTAGCTGAAAATTCCAAGAAGCGTGCGCACATTTCCGGGGGTCTCAATGGACAAAGGAGTAAAGAGAAGCTTATCATGAAAGGGGATAATGAAACCCGCCGATTCCTCCATCCCGTTATTCCGGATCACAGTGCTAGGATGAGTTATCCCCTCCATATCCTTGTTCCCAGGGCAACTAGGACTCACCACGTTCATGCCTCTACATTTCCTTTACGCACAGTGCTGCCATCTCCCGGAATATGAGTATATATGTGTGCTGCGACCAAGTGCACTTGACAAAAAATGCTCGTGGTGAATATGAGCAGCATGCAAGCCCAATGATGCAATGAGTTTTCGCTCAATTCGGAGTAAAGACGATGTTCACAATGATTTCATCATTGGAAATACAAAGGTTTATGCCCGGGTGGAAGCATATATTCACAAACTTGAATGGAATGTCTCGCTTGATTCTGGACTTGGTTGATTTATTTCAGCGGGATTTAAAAAAGCTTACTTGAATGATTTACATGGGATCCACCCTGACTGCATTTTCGGATGACGTAACACTCCGACTCACCCTGATGCTGGGCGCGGAGACAGGCTCGGAGAGACTAGGCGAAAGAGGAGGCGGGGGCAGCTTGCACATCAAACTCCCCGGGGTCAAAGGAGTGTGAGGAGGGGTAGGGGGATGCCCCGGAAGGGAGAGCGGGACCGGGATCTGGGCCGGGACCGGGACGCCTCCACCCAGCTCCATCTCCCCGGTCGGGGTGGTGGAGGCGGTGGAGGTGGATGTCGTGGTCGGCGTGGTCGTGGCTGACTCCATCTCCACGCATCTCGTCGACAGATTGTCCAGGATTTTCCCTGTGGAGACACGAAACGATATGCACATGTATAATTAGCTGCAAAAGGCTGGGGGAAAAGAAGAGGTGGATTTCTCTTAAGGATTCATTCGTTGATGTCATTTTGTTTCATTCATATTAGTTAAAGAAAATGGTTGGGATATTTTATATATATATATTTCATGTTATACATCTATTTACAATAGGTATGTACTTTTCATGTTCACTCCGTCGTCGCTTCAACCGCATGCATCCGTGTTATATCTCGTCGACTTACTTTTCTGCTTTCTTTTTTCCATTCCTCGAGGCTCTACACGTTTTTCCGCCGTAAAAGAAGCTGTTCTTCGACAGTTCCACAAAATTCAACACGAAGAATCACGCATTCATGTGGATACCGAATAGACAGGCAAGTGTTGTATATGCATTGCAGATCGGGGGGAAGAGGGGGGGGAGGGAGCCTTTGTTATGGGTTGGGAATCGTCATCACAGCTCGCGTGAGTCATTTTTTTCTCGCTTCGAGATGGGACAAGCGTGAAAAATTCCGTCTCGGGTTGCAGGAATATCAGAACCGAGGCGAATCCGGGACAATACAACCCCGAAAGATGAACTTCGCCCTCGTTTCATGGTCTCATCTCGAGAACCAACCACTCTCAGAAGAAGAAAAAAAAAAAGGAACCCCGAAGGGATGGATGGATTCGGTTGGGAGTCATCGATCTTCCCAGATGGAATTGCTCGGAAAATGACTCTGCCCTGCACGGAAACTCTCAACTACATTTATATACATATATCCATGTACATACATGTGCACATGTGGGTCCATGAAAGTGTGTTACGTGTCTGTCTCGGTTGGGATCTCTGGATCCATCCATCCTCACTTCTCCTGCATCCATCATCTCTAAGCCTGACCTTTCCCAGGGAAATTTTACGAATATTATCTGGTCCGCCATTCGCATAATATTTCTTCCTCTGCATTTTGCCCTGGTGCTTCGGCACTTTTTTTTCTTCCTTTTTTTAGTAGGAGGAGTCATTGCCCGATGGACATGACTTTTGGGGTGAGGGTGAGGGGGCAGAGGTAAAGGGAAATTTCTGGGAATTCCGTGGCTGGATTTCCCTCGGAGAATTGCAGGCCTGACAAGGAAGAAAGCCATAAGAGGAAGATGAGAAAGGGGGAGAGAGAGAAAAAAAAAGAAAATGCAGACACCGTTATAAGTCGGCTACCACTTACGACGGGAGCCGTGTGAAAAAAGAAAACTTCCTACATACATAGAACTCGAGGTTAGAGGTTAACCCGCCCTCCTACCGCCGTATTCTGTGATTATATCGTAGTTCACGTACCGGATCATTTAAATGCCGGGAGTAGAACGCTATTCAGTTTCTGGTTTTGTCCGAAGTGGCCGTGTCATACGTTACTGAGGTTCGGTGGATGGTCTCCCGAAGAAAAAAATGTGACGTCTTTTGTGTCATTTTTTTTTTAAAAAGCAGCAAAGCGGACAGAAACCCCTCGAGCCTTGAATGGACCCATGAAGACTGTTTTCCACGGAAACGCCGCATCACGGCGGAAAAAAGGAAGTGGGTCGGGGAACTTTTTTCCTGCCCTTCCTCAAGAAAGAATGAACCTTTGGACAGGAATGAAAATATTCGACGAAGCGTGCTGGATGGAAGAAAAAATAAAAAAGAGAGAGGGGGGGAAGTCAACAAACAAGAGGAGCATACTCCAGAGGTTAACAGGGGCGGAAGCATTACGTTTAAAAATTTTTCCTTTATTTGGGAGAACCTAAAGAACATGAGGGGGGGGAGGGGGAAAGGAAATATTTTGTGGGGGGAGGGGACATTTTTTCCCGCCTCTCTCGATCTTTTCATTCCTTTCTTTAGTATATAATATTCCTCAGTATGTAATATGGCATGAGAGTCTGAAGGACTCTGGCATGAGAGGAACAAGGAGGTCGGTTGGCGTGGCAAGGACATTAAGGATCGGCATTTCTGGAAACCTCATTAAAGGCTCGTTTTCTGCTCTGGAGAAAGAAAAAAAAGTTGTTGGATAGTCCTTGGCGTCATCTGTCACTTCGCTCGGTGTCCCAAATATCCGTTCCCCCCCCTCCCCCCCCTCGGTGCCTGTGACGCAGATCCGGATCACGTGCTGTCGAACGTCAGGAGACGCGGCCAGGATATCCGAATTCAAAGGAATCGCTCTCAAGGTTGATTCGCACAAAAAAAGGAAATAAAGCTCCTGACACCCAATTATACCAGCTTTTTTTAATTGCAGCTGCGGGTTTCCTTTTTTTCTTGAGATCGCCGTCAGGAATCTTAATGATGTCTCACTCTCCCATTACGTAGCAAAATATCCCCCCCCCCCCTTCAAATTTCCGATTTTTTCCTTCCTCTCCCCCATGGGACATAATGGACGGGGATAAAAGAGAGGGAGAAAGAAAAAAGGAAAAAGTGAGCAGTTGGGGCGATGCCATCCGTTTTTCGGGTCTTTTATTCCACGCCGATTTCTAGCTGAATCATCCCCGGTATATTATAGGAAACGATGATAATAATAACCGATTTTTTCCCCGAAAAAAAAAAACGAAGGGAGAAACCCTGTCTCAGGTGAGCATGCACAGCAGGGCGTCCAACGACCAATTACGTTCGCCCTGATTACAAATTTTTCCCCCCCATTTTTTCCCCCCTCCGAGAATTTTTTTTGCATTCCCAGAAAGCCGCTTTACGCGTTTTGACAAGCGATTCATCATTCTCGCCGTAAAATACGGTGGAAGGGGTGCCTGCCTCGCGAGATGCCATTAGATGCCGTGAGATGCCATACCCCGAAGGTATGCAAATTCCCCGCTTGGGGAGTGCAAAAAAACTGCGAAGAGGATTTGGCGCTTCGGGCACGTACTTTCTTTCTCGCTCTGCTTAATAATTGGAACGCAAATAATTGGAATGTTTGTCACTCGATCTGACAGAAATAATAACAATAATGGAACCGTAGATGCATATTTCCAAAAGATGCATCGCCAAGGAAAGTCAATCAAATTTGCATTAAAAAATGCTCTCATTCGATCAACGCCGCCTTCTAGTTGCATCTCCAGCCGATCCTCTTCCGAAAACCCAAAGTAACAATTATCATAAATAAATTGTAAACATAAACGAGGTTGTCGGTAAAAAAAAAAAAGCATTTTTAAAGAGAAATGGAACGGAAGCGAAGTTCTCGATCGTCATTCCGGATGTACAGGATGACTAAAACGAGGAAAGTCCGTTGAATCCCAATGCGATATGTCTCCTTCACGTAATCGGGGAGGATAAAGGATTCTTTTTTCACCTCCAAAGCGTCCCTCCATTAGAAACCATGACTAGTAAATGGAGAAGAAAAAAATTAAGCGTCATTGTAAACGCAGATTTTTGCCATAAAAAAAAGGAAGAAATCTTAGAAGACACTTTTAGAAATGGTCGTATGTATATGTGGCGGAGGGGGCAAGTCGTTCAATCGGGTTTAGAGAGAATGCTTCGTCATGAGATAAATGGCAAGGGCACACCTCGAGTGGTCCCATCTACAACACTCATTTGTAGTGCGTCTACATGCGGCTCGGATGGTCGCGGATCTCGTGGGGGAGCGAAACGGTTCACGTCGAGTAAGGGGGGTATTGGCATGGAGGCGTTCCGTGCCGGCCTTCGAGGTCGTTCCGTGCCGGTCTTCGGGTACGTTCCGTGCCGGATTTGAGGAGCATGGGGGAACGAACATTTTTTTTGTGTGAATGATGGACTGTGAAGGGAAAATCCAGTCGTTCCTTGGATGGAATCAGGAATGGAAACGGTCAACCAAAATGCGCCAGCGGTTACCATTGATATAGATCGAGAAAATTAATGAAACATGCTCAAAATCGTGCGTTTTTGTAGGTATTTCACATTGATAATTCTAGTTATTTAACACGGTGTTTATTTACCAGTCTATAAATCGAAGAAACTTGATTTGTATTTAATCTACAATATCAGCAAGACGTATAAGTGTACCATAAAGTTACTTCAATGAGTATCTTTATGGTATATAATAGGTAGGAAGGCATCGTTCCTCTCTCATCTTTCGCCAGCACATCGCGAAATATAACGATCCGGAGAGGGGGGAATTAATGAATTAATGGATTAATGAGGCCATACGTGAACGTTCATCCATTGTCTTCATTAGTCCCGATCTTCCATTAAACTCTGCTTCTCCCCGTCTTCATTAGTCCCGATTCCATAAATCTCCGACGCCTTTCTCGCGTGCAGAGAATACAATTTCTTTTTTTTTTATTTTCATCCTCTTCGGGCCTTTCTACATTCGAAGCCCGAGGGGGGGATCGCCTGCGAGGATCGCAATTAGATGGCATAGAGAAGGATCTCCCCGCTTTTGTCATACTCATAATATGGATGAAGGATCCGGCTATCGACCTTGAATGAGAGGAAAAAAAAGATTTTTTGGGGGGGAACGAAGGGCCGTTCATCCCTGTCATATTTCCTCCTCTCTCCGCAGTGATAAGAGAAAGGGAGAGAGACAGGGAGAGAGATGGAACGAAGAAATAAAAAAAAAAGGGAAGAAAAGATCAAAGACCCCCCGACATCACACTCCCCTCGAGGCATCCGAGAACACGAATATCAGCGGAGCAATAGGAAAAAGAAAAAGAAAAAAATCTCAAAAGAAGACAATGCAGTTATAAAGAATGATAAAATCCCGGCACTTTCCTTGCGGCACTCTTCAACCCGTCATTATTGTGCAAATTTCTCTCCCTTGGTCGACCCCCCCCAAGATTTTTTTTTTTTGTTTTTTCCCTCGGGGACGGTCATTAAACTCGACAGGACACATTTGACGAACGTCCCTCCGACATAAATGCGGAAATAAATCATAGGTCCCGCGGGGCTCCCAATATGGAAAAGGGTATCGACGATGACAGGGGGAAAAAAAAAAACCTAGTATCTAATGTTTTTCTTTTTTTTTTTTTAGTCCAAAGTACCGTATATATAATGGTAATTCGGAGAGCTGGAGGCCCCCCTGAGGGGCTTTCT